AAAATAAATAAATTAAAAATTTAAATATAACAAAAAATTCCCAAAAAATTAATAAATGTAAAAACTAGATTTAAAAATATTATTCTATTTTTTTGTTTTTTTAATTTTCTTTTATGGATTCATTTTTGATTAATATTGCTTTATATGGCCACATTATTTTTTATTTTATTTTATTTATTCTTCTTTTTATTTCCTCTTTTATTTTATTATTCTTTTATTTTACTCTCACTGCTCCATGAAAAAGGTCCTAATTATATAATAAAATAACTGTGATGGGATCAGTGTCGGGACGTGAAGTCGGGCTGCAACACATTCAGAAAAAAACTGTTTAGGTTGATCACAGTTAAATTAACGAATGTTTTAGCGTCAGGCTTCGCCCACAGCTGCCCTAAATTAACACCAAAACGTGTCTGTAATGGTTAATACACCAGTATGTAGAAGCTCTTTAACCAAAACTATATTTTAAATGATAAAATGTAATCATTATTGTTATCTATGAATATTCAAATTCACTGTTTTAGCAAAAAAAAAAAAAGAAAAAATAGTGAAGCACATTATTATTTATGAATGAGACGTCAGATTAAAGGAATTTACTTTTCCTGAACACAAACAGTCGTTTTAGTGGTTGAATGTGATGTTTGGTTGATTTTTAATTCTCAGAGAAGCCCATTGGCTCAGATTTGGCTATAAAAAGGTGAATTCATTCCTCATTCCTGTTCAAAATGGTGAAAAGTAGAGAGCTGAATGGCATGAAAGCGTCTCCTGATGGTTTACATATGAAGTGTTCAACAAACTGGACAGCTGGTCTCATGTGTTCAAACTGTATATAAATGAAGATACGGAGACGATGCAGACGTAAAGGGAGGATGAAGCTCTTATTTTGTAAATAAACGATGAAACTCTGCATAAAGTCGTTCATGTCCGGCTGATTAAAGCCAGTGAATGAGCCACTGTGGAAGCAGAAGCAGGTCTATAAAGCCTCCAGACGTACCGTGGCCTCCGTGGGCGACCACTGCAGATCCTCCACCGACTTGCTGTGGGAGCTGAAGGGCCTCTGGTCGATCTGCCAGGACGTGCCTCCTTCTCTGGGCTCCCACACATGGATGTTCTTCTTGCAGTCACCGCTGACCAGACGCCCTGATGGGAAAGCACCGATACGACATTTAAAAACACTCAGTTTATAAAGTTCTACTACATACAACCTCCTACGTCTTCAAAACGAACTTCAGTTTGAGATGTTTCAGGACTTCAGCCCTTTTCTCAGCATTTAAACCTCTGAACTCTAGTTTCTGGGTGTTTTTTTGTTTAATTTTTCTTCACTGAGGTTCACGTTTCAACATAAAGTCCTGCAGCTGGAACCAGAACATGAAGAAGGAGGAGAGAACTCAGAGATGTCTTCTGTCAGCAGGACTCAAACAACAAACAGTAAAACAACCTGGAAGCAACAACACGGAGGCTCCACATGATACAGATATTTAACTACTTTTATTTCTAATTGTACACTTTCCTCCCGTCTGCTCTGTGGAAACACTGAATTTTTGTTGTGAACACTGAACATTTTGAGGTGTTTCTTGACAGCATCTGCTCAGAGAAAACGGTTTATTACGACAACTTTGTAAAATGTGAAATGAATTTTAAGAAATATCCCGATTTTAAACTTGGATTCGGTTCCCTGACGAAACAGCGTGCTGCTGAAGATGAAAATGAAGCGCTTCTTTCAGGTTTTCACGGTTTCTGGTTGATAAATGCCGTCGACTTTGAGAGCTGCCGGCGGATTTGGGTGTTCAGAGTTCAATCTGCACATTCATTCATCTTGAAGAGAAACTTCATTCTGAGTTGTTGCATTCAAGACTTTAGACCTTCAAAAGAGTGCAGTGAAGGCCGTGAACATGTCAGCAGACTTACGGACGGCTTCATCCACCAGGCTGTCGGGAAGCTCTGGACGCTGACAACTGAACTGGACTCAGCACAAGGACCGCCTGACACTTTACAGCACTATGAGCTACTTTACTGCACCGTTTACTGCACTGTCAATAACTTCATATCGCGTGATCTGCACTGTTTTCACTGCACATTTGTTTTCTATATACAAATCCAGTTCAGAACCAAAGACTTAACATGTGCCTGATGCAGATTCTTCTGCTCTCTTTTATATTTACTTCTATTTGTATCTTATGATTTGGTCAGATTTTATATTTTGTAGCTTATTGTATGTTTAGACTGTATATTTTTTAGCCTTTTATATGTTTAAATTGTATATTTTGTAGCTTGTTATATGTTTATCTTAAATATTTTTTAGTATGTATATTTTTCCAGTCAGTCGTTTGTCTATGAACACGTGCAGCAGAACTGACCATAACGTGACTTTAACACCTTTAACTGCAGTGTGTGCAGACTTTAAACGATGCCAAACATCCTCTAGAGTTTGATGATGACACCTGACTGTTCTTATTTTGTGACGGACGCATCACGAGGTCCCGTAGCTGCACTTCAGGAACACGGACCAGCGGAGCTTCACGGGTTCCTGCTGTAGAGAATTGAAGGTTTTTCTCAGTAAAAATTAAAGTCTTGGTGCCAAAAGTTTGAATAAAACAAATTGGCTTCTTTTGCTTAACGTGTTAAACTAACAGAGAACTTTAATCCGGACCCGTGCTGTGTAACCAATCAGACGGGGTTGTGGGCGGGGCTAAATCTGTGAGGCGACGATGTTGCAGAAAAACGGCAGAAAAATCTTGATTTGACTTTAAATCCAAATGTTCTGCTGTTGCTACGAGAGTCTCGGTGACCTCCCAGCATCTGAGGAGCTGCAGATCCGGTGGATTACCGATACTTCTGACGTTAATGTCACCACAACAACAGGAAAAGCCTCGGCATTAGCTAGCATTACCGTTAGCTTCCATCAAACGCCCACAGACTGGAGCTCTGTGGAAACCTTCTCACATCTTACTCCTTGTTCTCACATGTTCCCAGAGTTGTTGTTTTTTTGTTGTTTTTTTTTAATTTCAAATCCCTGCCGAGATGGTTCATTTCACCATCACTGTACATCCTGATTTTAGCTCCATCATTTGTTTGAGAACCAGCGAGCTGCTGCTGGCTCCGCCCCCTCCAGGAGGAAAACTGTCTGCTGACGGGAACCAGGACGCTGGACGGTCTGTCTTCTGGCTTTCTCTCCAAGGATCATTTCACAATAAATATGTTTGAATTCTCAGCACAGTTGTCATTTTTAACTCATTATG